AATGAGTTGAAAACAGTGTTGTCAGCTCAAAAATTCTCAATTTTTCAACAATATTGCTATCACTTGAACTTATAACCAATCTTGCAGTTACTCAGCAAACAGAATACATAACTTCATAGCAATATTGTTATATATTATGATCATAACAATATTGTTATCTTAGCAATGTTATAACAAGATCCGAACAGAATCGACCCGATTGTCTGTTCAGTGAATCGAAATATGTATGCCCATCAGGTGGCGCTGGAAAAGAGACTATGGAAATAAGTGCTCATTTGTTTATGTCAAAAAAGACAATATTAGGTTGACATTCTCTTCTTCTATTTTTCTTCAATCTGTACTCAACCACAGACGTGATTTCCATCATTGACGTGATATTCGATACGAAGGCGATAAAAAAGGAGATTCTTTCATTTTTTGTATCACTCATACTGTACATTTTCGTTTTTTAACTGGAAAACTATCCATGTAGGTATCTGAAATTTGCAAGTAGTGATGCCGATGTTTACATGCTTCACATCACTAAAACAAAATGTTTTCACTGCAAAAACGGAATTTCATGAATTATATATTAAACTTTTCAGAAATATAGAGAGCATAAGAAGCCCCTACCTTTCTGCTTGGCTTGCATGTCGAAAAAGTGTGAACAGTAATGTATTTTTTCATCTCAGCACTGATGAGTTTCCGAGGATTCCGCAGTTCCTACTCAAATTCAAGTTGCATCACAAATCAAGCTAATACAGCATTGCCCGAATATCTTCCTGTTTCCATCATTCAAGTATGGGTAAATGATTTTCATACTTGATGATATCTTTCGTGATATAATGTTTCATCCTGGTGTTTCAACATGACAGATTTTTACTTACAAATTTGACAGGAACATAAAAAAGTTTCTGGTTAGGAATAAATAAAGAATGAATTAGTTTACTTAGTTCACGTAGATTTCTCTGAGGTACAAATTTTCCTCATTTTTCTTTTCAATGAACAGCCAATATTATAGCTCTTGCCTACTAACTAACTTACTATAGGTTGTCATCTAGAACGACAAAATGATTTGACGTAAGGGACATTACATATTTCCATGAAGGGATATAAGTTAAATCTGGATAGATCCACCCTATTTTCGTGATACGGCGATATTTTTTTATTTTCACTAGGTAGCTTTGTACCCCAACTTACCAGAAATCGAAATATCGTACTCATCACCCATCGTACCTATTACCAATTTCATTCAATAACAAAACCCATGATAACGTTACCCAAAATGATTGTTCTGAAAATTGTTATAAAATTGTGCTATCCGTCATTCGGTTGCCCCATTACGAGCAACCCTCAGTCACAGTTTAAGGAAATACTCATTCCTTAAACTGTGCCTCAGTAGTCTTCGAGAGCCTTGTGCGAGCAAGGAATGACAGGACCTTACCTTTTTGCATGTGATCCCAAACACTTTCTACCAGCAAGCCATCGCGATTATTGAACTAACGCTCCTACCACACGTCTAACTGGCCCCCCAACCCAAAATAATAGTATGGAGTAATATGTCATAACGCACGCTGCAGAAGCAGTGTTTTTTGTAGAATCCAACAAGTTAATAACTTCTTTTTGTGATAATCGAACAATCTAATCTTTGTTTTCTTCAATTGAAAGGCTTATTGTGAAACAATGACAAGCCTCAAAAAGGTAAAACTGAGATATTCGACTTTGAATGTTGAGAAAAATATATAAAATACAGTAACAACCTTTATTGTTTCAGTTAAATATATTTCCATGCTTTATGCCCTTTAGGACACAGGGTTAACAAGAATATTGAGGAATTTATCATAAACTTAAGCAAAAACAGCCTTTATTTAGGAAAAATGTAGCTTGTTACATTATTCCGTTAAAACAAATATATACAATCTTACACAAAAAAACCCTAGTTTAACAAGATCAAAAATTAGCTCTTATTTATTCAACAAGCTCGATGATCTCATCAGCAACATCATTGCTGACATCCTCACGTAAACTATTGTAGAAGGTATATTACAGTGGAGGTATGTATAAGGTTATGATGATTTCACATTTTCATGATTCTTTTTTGGAATCCTGATGTGCTCAATATACTTTCGTTTCAAAGCAGATACAGAAACCTCATTTGGACGACCTTTCTTGACAACAGTGACGGGGTTGTAGGTACCCTTTACAGAATGCTCAACGTAAAAAGCTTTTTTCCACGGAATCATTCATTCCTGGATGTTCAACAATAACTTTGTTTTATCTCTTGGAGCGCACGAAAGGAAATTCCTATTATGATCGTGGAACATCGTGCGTACCTATGGAGGATAGGGGGAGGCCTTTTAAGCCAGTTCAACACTATTTTTGATTTCAAGCTGAGCATATTATTACTTCAGAACTTTTTTTTTGTCGTTTGTAGCAAGAATTTTGTTTGCAACTCGAGCGCGAAATACTTTGGTCATCTCGACTATTTTTTTAACTCGGCTACGCCTTGTTAAAAAAATCAGATCTCGATCACCAAAGTAGCATTTCGCGCTCTAGATACAAAAATGTCTATTTTCTTCTAATTCGATGTCCCTATTTGTATATTAATTACGTCGCATGTGTCAGATTTTGGCAGCCTGAAACCAATATCATACTAAGTACAAAAAAGCCGTTTCCTGACATCAAGGTTCATATCGTTCCGAATAGAGACTGATGGCTATAGTCATGTTATGGTCCAGGTGAACTTTTTTGATGTTCTCGACTGTACTGACTTTGATACTTTGGGGTCGACTCTATGTGGTTTTCAACACTTTGTATATCCGAATCAGATATTCTATTCGTACGGTTTGTATGCTCTTCTCTTCCGTCTGTTTTTGGCAGTAGATTTCCTTTCATCTTATTGTCAACGATATTATTCAATCTGCCCTAAGAAGCTTGAAGTCCATGGATATTTCAAAACTCTGTTTTGCAGACACGTCTTTTCTAAGCGATTCTTGATGTTTATGCTTCTTTTGCGGTAGGACCTTTCCTAATAAAACAACTCGATCCAATGGACGTCCTATGGACATCCTCCTCTGGACATCTCGGACAACCATAGGACATTCAGTTTGTGTACACTTGATGACGTATGAACATCCATAGGATATCGCGTTTCCAACTTTTGAGCTATCCATATGGTATCCGTCCTGGACATCCATATGGTATTCGTCAAGGACATCCATATGGGGTATCTGTTTTGGACATCCATATGGAATATGTCTTGGACATCCATATGGTATCTGTCTTGGACATCCATATGGTGAATTCCATCGGATGTTTTGAATGTATGCATTCATATTATATGGGAAAAAGATCTTGTCAATAAATATAATCTATGTTTCTGGTTGTTAGATTCATTTCAAATGTGATTATATTCAAGCGAACACTAAAGGTACTATATTATTTCATTTCAGATTGGTGTGATATGTTGGTTCTATTGATACCTCCTTTCATCATTTCAGTTTGGTTGACTTGACACAATAGGCACTCAATTTCAGATCCGTTCTACTAGTTGAAATTCTTCGATGTCTTCATCAACACTTCCTGGGATGGCTCTTCACTTGAAGTGATCTATTTATTCTTCGACCGAAATGGCATAACGATAAAACACAAGCGAGTGACGACGCAATTCACAGACACATATTAAGGAACAGATTATTACAATGATGTCACTCAATACAAGTTCGAACATGAAAAATCTTCAAAACGCTGTACATACATATATCTGAAAATAATGAGATTATCAGTCTCAGTTGCCTCAGACAATGCATCAACGTTAACAATAATAACAATGGCGGACGGCATAACTACTCTGACACGGCTGACCCTGTCGGCCTGTGGTCTTCGAAGGAACCGAACGACGTCGATGATAGCCGAGACGGTTGTGTGAAGTAACATTATCAGAGAGGGCATTGGAATGGACACCATATGGATGACTTTACCTGGACATCCAATGGATATCTTCATGTGGAAATCCTATCGTTGTCCCGATTGTGTCCATGGACACCATATATGGATTACTTAACCTAGACATCCATTGGGTATCTTCATGTGGACATCCTATTGTTCTCCTGAATGTATGCATGGACATCTTGGACATATATTAGACATAATACAAATATCCAATAGACATCTTGTGTTATTAGGGTTTACTTCTTAACAATATCGATACACCCGAATAAGTAACTTTTCTGTAACTCCCATGAACCAAGGTTTCAGAATCCATCAAAAATATTGCGCTCATAGCCCTGAAGCTTTCACCTACACTTCTTTTCGAAACTGCAAGGTGGTCCCAATTCTCAACCAGGCAGGGTTTTTCTTGTGTGTCACTTACATATATACTGCTGTCCTAAATTCCGTCTGATTTATTTTTCAATCTTAAATAACATTGTTCATTCCTTCGTTTCCATCTGGTGTGTTTGGTTCTTGCTTTTTTCTCGATGGAACTTGTTTATTAATAATACTTCGATCTTGAACGGTGATAAAGTGACAAGCCACATTCACGAAAAAAATACATACCGCGCTTCACTCACTCACTCACTCACTTGAATCACTACAAGATAGTTCAAAGTCAGGGTCACGGTCACAATCATCGAATGTCGACTTTGCTATAATCGTTAAAACTTTCATGATTATCGGAACCGCTTCCACTGGTGTGGGCCATTTTGATGTGGCATGTCATCATGTCGAGTAGACACTAGAGAAAAGCAGACCTAGCATGAGTGTGACTATATGTTTATAGCGCCATCTATCAAGGTTCGAAATAAATTTTTAGTGGCTTGTTATACTATTGCTTAAACCGAAAATAGGGCTAACTCATTTTGAACTACTGCCTGGCTGTCATCATTGTTTCACAATAAGCACTTCAATTGCATTGTGATATAATGACTCCAGGAACGTTATCTGTCTTGCCTGTGCATCAAATCTAGTCTGAGTGGGATACGAGATGTTAGAATTGGACCATCGACACCTTTTCGTCTTACCTTCAATATTTTCGATGCAGTGTTTCAACTCATACTTCATTTCCAGCACTTCCCCTTTGAGAATTTGATTCTCCAACTTCAGTTCATCGGTTATCCTCTTTATTTCATTAGATTTAGAATTTTCCTTGTGAGCAGCACAGCAGCAAGTTGGTTGGTTAACGGTGTTCTGTACGTTCCTAAAAAAAAATTGAGAAATCGAGTGACAATTTAGTGAACTGGTCAACATTTAAAACGTGCAATCGAACATTTTTGATCAAAGGATCATTATAACTCTCGATTTCCACTACAAATTGCCAATTCCTTTCCATTTCCTCAATGCTCGTTTCATTGCGTTATCGAATTTTCCTTACAGCGCACGTGGATATCCTAGGTACATTCATTTTATGTCCAAAATGGAACCTTGGGATGAGGACGTGATTGGGGAATGCAATAAATATTTCTCAGAGGCATATCCCTGATGGGTTTTCGTATTCATGTCCCTATGATTACACATCTTCAAGTTGTCCCATGCATGCCTTTAGTAAATCTCAAATAACTATTCATATCAAGTCGAGTTTGCGGGAACAACATATCAGTTGCAAACCTATATTTAATATGACTTCACCGATTACACAAATCAATCAACCATTCACGAGCAATTCAGGTACCTGCTTCTTGTAAAAACTTCACAAACAGTGAGATTTCCACAGAATTCAAGTGCTATACGTACTCATACAATGAGTTGCTTGTTCTTAGAGTATGACCCATGTCCAAACAGTTACGTATATTTCAAGATTTTCAAAAGATAGGAATTCCTTTGATTTTTTTCTGGTGTCAAAAACGTATAACACGATGTGTTTTCCCGAGATGATTTTGAAATTCCAAATATGAGGAAAAAAAATCATAATTTGTGGGAATTGGTTCCATAGTCAATCTATCTGATGATATCTCCATGAAATCCCAAAAGATACTATAGAGTCAGTCAATATTTATATTCTTTCCAGTTCCACTGAGGAAGGAAATTTAGTTATCAAAATACGTATTCAGAGTTTTATGACTATCATTGTGGTATTAATGTGGATATATTTCCGTTTTTTTATGGTTTAAAGAAGTTACCTACCTAAGAACGCTGTCATAGTTCTTCTCTCTTTCCAAAAGCTCTCTCATATGATCCTTGTATCCCCGTTCTTTCATGTTCAGATCTGATATCACTTGAGATGTAGGACAACCACAATCAGCAGTCATATTTTTTGTGTCCCCAATACCTAGAAATTAATTTGGTTATTTCTACTAAGCTACTATATTTCTCACGAAAATTGCACTTTTATACAGACTTTTGTAATTGCATTTTTTATTTTGTGACCCAATCTTCGATAAACGGTAAATGTAGCGTGAAATTTCGATATATTGAACTATTTTTGACAAAAATAATATAACAAATAAATAGTTTTAGAGGTAATTAAGAGTGTATTGTATCTCGATAATTGTCTGCGCGACAAGGTACCTACGCACTTTACTGACCTATACAGTTCAAATTATACAGGCTGATTCAGGTGCAAGTACACGGCAAGTATCACAAATTGAAGATGAATTTTGAAGATGGTTCGAATGAATATTCGCCTGAAAATCTCCAGGTACGACGAAGGTACCCACTGTCGTAGATTCAGAGATCATATATACCGAAAGGGCGAAAAAAGTTCTCCCTCCCCCCTTTAACTTTCGAACAGAACAAGCTAGCGAGGTCGAGTAAAATAGAGGTGAAAAGGTATCTCTCTTACTAATATTTGGAAATGGTTCTCGAAGTTTCTCCTGAAAAATTTACCGTGCAAAACGATTTTGCAATTGCACAACATAATAAATGCCAATATCAGGCACCAGCACAACCCAGATTCCCTGAAGACGGGGTTGATGGTGATCCCAATTCTTAAGCCTGGCAAAAACCCTAAATTGCCAAGCAGCTTCCGTCTCTGAGTGTGATCCCTCCTGAGCAATTAGGGTTTCGAAAGGGGCATAGCACAACGTCCCAAGTTTCCCGAATGCTCACGGGATAAAAGAAGCCTTTAATCAGGATAAGAACACGGTTATGGTACTGATAAATATCGAGAAAGCTTTCGATACGGTATGGCATGAAGGTTTAATATCCAAGATGGTTAAGGCAGGGCTGCCGATATTTGTTGTGGAGATCGTGGACTCGTATTTAGCCCATAGGAAGATGAAAGTCAAAATCAATAATACAATTTCAACAAGTCAAACACTCGATGCAGGTGTTCCACAGGGGTCGTGTCTGTCACCCTTGTTGTACTCTTTATATGCCTATGATTTTCCTGTTTTTGAACGTACGAGTACTGCACTGTACGCCGATGACACGGCAGTATACGCACATTCGTACAGTTCAGACATCGCCAGGACTCAGACCCAGATCGATCTGGACAGGAAAATCATACCGCGTATTTTGACAATGCAAAGATTCGTGTCATTCATGAGGAGACTGAGTTGACGAATTTCACTGCAAAATATACCAACAGTACTATACACGGGCCTTTGCTTGTCAAAGACGTAGGGGTGACGGTCAACACCCCAGTGAAATACCTGGGAGTAGTGCTGGACAAGCGTATGTGCTTCTGAGATAACTTCACCAAATTAATTGAAAAAGGCCATGCAGCCATAAGACAATTGTATCCATTGTTGGTTAGGAATTCCGAACTAATAATGGATAAAAAAACTGCTCTTGAACAAGCAATAAGTGATAAGACATGTGATTACATATACGCTTGTCCGGTGTACCGTAGAGCCTCCGCCACAACTGAATAACCTACAGTTGCTACAGAACAAGGTATTCCGAATCATTACTAACGGTAATAGATACACTCGAGTGGCTGACATGCATGCTCAATGCCATGATCTGCCCTTGCTTAAAGATAACATCATTAAAGTATCAAATATCAGAATAGCGAACTCACAAGAGATATAACGAGAATAAGGGCAGATCATGACATTCGTAGGAAACTTGGGCTGATATATGAGGCCAGCGATGTATTCAGGAAACACCATGAATAACTTCCCCTTCCTCCCCTCATCTCTGATAGACTGATTCTAGATAACAAACAGCTGAGAAGCTGAATTGAACGAGAACGGTAGTCGTTTGGCCGGGCCGTATAGACTGAACGATATGTGGCCCAGCTGAACGACTATCGGAGCATTACCATGGAGCAGGACCCGAACAACTTAGCACGCCTATCGGCTAACAAATCTTGTCTATTTGCCGATACGAAATCGGTCTTTTAGATCCCAATCACTGTCCCACACCTATCCCACCCCTCATCCCTCATATAGTGTCTTTCACAGAAAATTTTTAAAAGTTGTTTTTTTTTGCAGAATTACAGAGGCAGCAATCGACGATCACCTTCTTTGCCCTGGGCAACTCACTGACATGAGCTGGATTAAAGGTTTACTCCTAGGAGTCAGTTCCCTCATGACTGTCATCAGGGTTGTTAGACAAAAATCGTTGGCGAGGCCTACATCGACTGCCTCTGAGGGCTCCCTTGAAGGGTAATTCTGTGGCGTATCTAAGTGTTTACATTGTATGTTTTACATTTTTATCATGTTCAATGTCCCCTTCAGAAGATTTTTGTTTATACACCTTGTATTGTAAAAATGTTTTAATTGAATAAATAGAATTGAAACGGTTCTTGGATGCTTTTCGATGCTCTATCCAACACCGCATCGCAAAGCCGTTTTGAAGTAACAAGCATTTTGAATTCTGCTTCAAATGTTGATGAATAAAATATCTAGATGACTGTGAGAACTGTATGTTTCATGCAGAGTCATTTGAAACTGTTCATCAAATAAGGAATGCCAGGCCACGCTGCCGCTATCTTTGAACTTTCAGAGGGACCGACGGCCTGCGGTAACAAGTCCTCAAAAATGCTCGAAATGTTTATCGTTCACTGATTTACACGGAATCTATCCGAACGTTATTTACTGATTCCGGAGTAAACTCTAAAACACATGTCGCATTTCAAAACTGCTTGGCAGATTCGAACATACAAAGTGGTTTCGTATAGAGAATCAGAAGGCCTTCAAAACGAGGTACCACGTGACCTCTATTTAAGTTTCAAAAAAAGTTGATGGTGCCCACTTGACACTAGGTCACGTGACCACAACTATTTTCATGCCAAATAGTAGTAGAAGAGGTACCTTTTTACCTGAATTTTACTCGACTTCGCTAGCTTATTGTTCCGTTCAAATGTTAATAAAGGGAGCGAGGAGTTCTTACGTCTTCACTGCACACCTGAGACACTTTGTTCCATAAAAAAATTCTGATTCAGCGGTTCACGAAAAAGTAGCCAACGTTCACGGAAACCGGAAATCTCTATCTTGTAAGCGTATAAGTACATCGAAAATGGGACACCGTGTACGTGCATACCCTTGAATATTCACATTTCATTATGGAACACCCTGTTGACACCGCTACACATTGTGGTGAGAAAAACTGTGGAACTTGTCCTAAATTAGATATAAGAAAATCACTAGGTAATAAGGAATCGTAATCTGATGGATTCCAGAAGACCTAACAAAGCGAATGAGACTGTGAGAAAATCCAGAACACTGATTACTTGGGTTTTCGGATCTAATTATAAAGGTTGTTTCAAAATTCGATGTGAATATCTTAAGGGCATATTGTTGGAATCAAAATAAGACTTTTCCTGCATTTCAACAGGTTTCCTAAAATAAAGCCTCCCGAGCTACAGCCACTGTAGGTTGGGAAAAAAAAAGATTATTCAAAACTGTGACTACAATAACGGAACAAATCTTCAGGGAATTGACATGCCCCCATCTTTTTAGAGGCTTTTATTCCTTCTTGCATAAAAAATTACGAAACCCCCATTTTTTCAGAGTTGGAGGGGGCTCCACACTTTTTTTGCCCCAAATTTTATGTTTGATAAGAGAAACTCTGACTTTGGATAGCATGATCTTGTGGGCAAAAAAAAGTGGATTTTGGTCTGCTGCATTTTTTTCATACAACTAAGCGTTTGCTAGAAAACCTCAATCAACGAATGAGGAAGTCATCACGACATCGTTTTAGAACGAATGGGTTAAACGCTTGTTCACGGAGGTGATCGTATATCGGAATGCATTTGAGACTGCTATTTAACAGAGGCATGCAGTAATGGAATACTTGGATTCGATCCATAATTATGATCTCAACAAAAAAGACTTATTTTGATCCGAACAATACATCCTTGAAACATTTACATCAAATTTAGAATCACACTGTATACAAGGTGAGTCAGTATAAGACCGACAAACTTCGTAAATGGATTCCTCACCTTATTTTGAGATGAAGAGTTCCTATCAATGCATGCCTAAAAATGCATGCTCTCTGATATGAGAACTTTCCTCCTTGAAATGAGGTAAGGAATTTGTATACGAAGGTCGGTCTTAGTCTGACTCATCCTGTATAATATGATTGAAATAATAATTGTATCTATCTACTTGCCATGAAAATCTAAATAGCTTCAGTGGATTGATATGGGATTGATCGTAAGCTCACCTTTATAATTGGAAGGATTCAGAATTGGAGAACCAATAAAAGCACATTGATTATCAACATCCCTTATATTAGATCTAGATCTTATCCTCTTTGATGAGGGGCACGTCTGAATAGTACAACTCTTCCTCTTTTCAGTTCTTCGATTCGTAGTAATATTTGGAACGGTGAAAGACTTCGAAATTGCTTGTAAACCAGGACAGGTTGCATCTTTACATGGAATTCTCTTTCGAGCACCTACAGATTTCCTTGACGTGGTGTTGTTGGGCTTCAAAAATGGTTCTATTCTGCAAGAAGTCGCATTCACTTTTTGTTGAATCAGAGATGTACAAGTGTCTACTGTACAAGGTGTATCTGTATTGGTATCAATTTCATTAAGCATTCTTGGACAATCATCTATCCTACAAGATGATTTCTTCGTGTCAGAATTATTCCTGTCTGGGCTGGTTTTACGTGAAATACTCCTACTTGTTGTTGTATCCCGTGTACTAGGACATATTCTACAACTCACATCTTTTTTGCGATCAGAACTAATTTCTCTACTGAAACAAGGACTAATTCCTCTGGTGAATACATTCCTAGGAACCGCATCTCCAATGGGTGAGCTTTTGTTTACTGCGGCAACGTCTGATCTTTCATTAGTTTTGCATTGGAATGGGTTGCTCCAACAACTACCAAATTTCACGTGGACTTCTTCATTTGCTTGTTTTTTCTCAACACAATGTTGACAAGTCATTTTGGACATAACTGTGGACTTATTTGTGGTAACTGTATCTGGATATTCTGGTAACTTCTTAGATGGGCAGCCACAGGACACCATACTGGCGGGATTCGGGTACGGACCTGTGCTAGTAGAACAGGGAGTCTTACTCCTAAAAGAGTTTGTAGTGTATTGACTACACTCGCCAGTGGATATTGTGGTGTCTTCTTTAGTAGTACTTGTTTCTGTCTTAACTTGACAACAACCACTACAAGAAAAACTGTTATTCACTTCTTGTGAATAACTATCAGCTGTAGTATCATTTTTTGTGGTAGTGTCATCTTCTTCACATAAGCAGTGAAAACTGGTGCTGTACTCTGGCAATGATTCGAAAGTCACACCGTTGCTGGACGATGTCCATTGCCGTTCTTCAGAATCACAAACGCAAGAAGAGTCTCTGGTAGGTATTTCATTTGTGTTCGATGGATGAATAGCACTGCATTTCATGGTGAGGATGGATTTTGCATTTTCCATAACTTTTTGGAAAAAACTAGAACTGCAATTCGGGCTAGTTTTTGTTGGTACGTCACGCACTGGACTGTTAGTGTTTCTTGGGAACACCCTGGGTATGTCGTTTTCGACCTCACAGCTACAAGTCGAGCTCTGTGAAGCTATTAATGCTTCAACTTGGGCAATTTTATCACGCAACTCTTGTTCTTTACCTTTGAGTAACATTGTTTGATCTTCGAAGTGTGACTTCAGTACTTCCCAATATTCTGGCGTGTCGCATGGACAAGCTTCTTCAACATCCATTCTAGAATTTTGCAGTTTAATCAAAAATTGACTCAAAATTTGGACTTTTACGCGACAATTTCATGACATTTTTCGAAGCCAAGTCATTATGAAAGGCGCCGTCTAGGTTTCATGGTGAACATAGTGAACATATTATACAAGTTGTCTCAGAATAACGTTCGTCTCAACAATGTTCCGACATACAAGGTATTCACTGAATTTGATGAATACAAAATCATTTCTGTAGAAAAGCTAGAGGACTGTTCAACAATTACTAGAGATATCGTGGTGTATCACTAAGTACCTTGAATTGGATGAATCGGTTACATTCTTTAGTCAATTTAACTTCGAGTATAATGTGTTATATTTCAAAAACATGCATGTCAACAATGATGTTTGAACAGAGATCATTCGAGAAGCAGTAGTATATTGTGCACTTCGCTGGTATACATTTTGTAGATTATGGTAGGAACTCTCGCCAAGGATTTCGATATATGTGGAAGCTCTGGAAAATGCAAGTATGCGAGGTAGAATTTTCTCTCTTTTCTAAATGATAGGACATAAATAGTAAGGATCGGAAATGCAGCCAGCACTGAAAAAAATTCACTTTCAGATTATCATTAGAACCACTTTTGTTCTCTGTCAATATCAATAACCTATTCACCTAGCTATTTACCTTGAAAATTAAGGTAAAACTTAATTTAAAGTGCTTTTGTAAAGTACCAAAGCAACCAATTTTTAGCCAAACCATACATGTCTGGAGACTTTTTTGAAACAGGTCGATTTTAATTTCCGAATCTCTACAATTATGGATGAGAATTAAACATACTTATGGTGATTAACGTTTGAGTTATGAGGTACGCAAAAATTGTTTCAAACAGATCACCCTATATATCATTCAATCTCCAGGATCTTCATAAAAAGCTGTATGCACATAGTATATTACGTAATATGTGTTGTAAGAAGCATATTACGTACTGGCGGATTAAACGAAAGCTGTGCGATGTGCTTACTGTGCGTAAATAGCTATTTACTGAGGCTGCTGTATCTCGTGTTTTCTTGCCTACTTTCTATAGTGGCCGTAGGTAAATATCATTATGTTAGGATAACTTTTGAGTAGAATGAAGCATTACTTGTCTTCACGTAGTCTCGATTATAGTTAAAAAAGATTTGAGTATCTTCTGGGGCAAGTCTCAAGTTCAGGGCACAACCATTTTAGTACTCAAGCTTAAAACGCATGTTTCAGTTTTTCTAGAAAAATACCTTCCATGAATGATTATTTATTACCTAATTCAGTAAGAGGTCCTGTCAAACTTTCATTCAATCCAAAAATATCCCTAGTAATGACATTATCAGGATCTGGCCATGTTTCTTCAAGAGTTCTTATTATTTCTAATATTTCACTTTCGTCGGTTGGAAATAGGCGCATAGTGGCATTATTATGTAATGGAGAAATATTGCAATTAGGTTCCTACCCGTATTTTAATAGAAACATTTGGAGTCACTAGCTATGTTACCACCAATGCGGGAAGAATGTAAATTCATGAAATCAACTATTTCCAGGTTATTGGTGATGATATTGCCATTCAAATGATGACTCAATATCCCTATTTCAGCAAAAATTTGACTTTCCCCATACATTGATTCAATACATCCCAAATTTCCTTTGGATTACCGACCTTGCGATTCTTTGGACATAAATGAGATTAATGCTGGGTTTATAGATTCAACTAAACTGAGAATCAAGCTAACAACTATGATCTTGAAGAAGTTGAAGAAGAAGTTGAATGCAAGGAAACATCTATGAGGGTTTATACATTTTCATCTGTCAATTAAGTTAAGAATTAAGAATTACAAAGTTGGCCAACTCTCAACTTAACAACTAGGAATTCGGAAATTCTGGAGACATCAGAATAACATGAGGATTGGATTTTGTTATTGTTCAAGTGGAGTTTGGTGATATTTAATTGGAATATTTCTTATGGATTCATGAGTTGTGGAAACCAAAATCACTCTTTAACATCATTTCGATCTTTAGTCAAAAGAAATTTCACATTTAATTCTTAATTAATATCAGATATGGATAAACACCCTCATGATTATTAATTGTCGATTGTTAATTGTTGATTCCTAATTGTTAGTACAATTGAATCTATAAACCCAGCATGCATTAGCTTTCCTAATCAACGCATTTTCTTTCATGCATGATTTGGAATTTCTTATTTCTGATTTCAATTTCATGTTCAAGGAACAAGTCCACTGTCACAAACTTGCTAGTTTATGAGACCAAAATACTAAATGCTTTGGAAAATAAATTTCAGGTTGACGCTATTTATACTGATTTTTCTAAGGCATTTGACAGAGTAGATCATTCCATTCTTTTGTCTAAACTAGGAGCTTTTGGATTTTCTGATTGGTTTTTGAAATGGTTGAAAAGCTTCCTAACAGGCCGTAGACAGTGTGTTCGAGTTGGCTCGTTCAGATCCAGTCATATACAGGTTTCATCAGGAGTACCTCAAGGTTCTCATTGTGCTCCCATTTTGTTCAACATTTTTGTGAATGATATCAGTAGATGTTTCGTGAACTGCGAGTTTCTATTATTTGCTGACGATTTGAAATTATTTCGAACAATAAATTCAAAATTTGACCAAATCAATTTACAAGAAGATTTAAACAGATTGAATAATTGGTGTATGGAAAATAATCTGCATCTAAATATCAATAAATGTTGTTTCATTAGCTTTTTCAAGGGTTATAAGAAGTTTGATACTGTATATAGTATAAACAATAGTCCTCTCAGATACGTTCCAACTGTTCTAGATCTAGGGGTCACTTTCGATGAACAAATGAGATTTGTAAATCACATAAACACCATTTCAGTGGAATCATCAAAGATTTTAGGAATGATTATTCGTAATTGCTCTGAATTCTCAGTGGATTCTATAAGGAAGGTCTATATGTCATTGGTCATTTCTAAACTGACTTGTGCATCTATTGTCTGGTCTCCTCTTTATCAGGTTCATAATATAGCCATGGAGAGAGTACAGAACAAATTTCTGAGGTATTGTGCCTTTAAATTGAACATTCGTTGGGAAAACCATCAATATATGCATATTATGAACGAAATTAACTTAATTCCATTGCGTAGTAGAAGACTCAAGTTAGATTTATGTTTTATCTTCAAATTATTGAATGGTGCTGTGAACTGTCCGGAACTACTGGAGTTAATTAAGTTTAATGTTCCAAATAGAGTCCTTAGATTTCCATATTTATTTCAAATACCATTTCATGTCACAAATTATGGACAGCATAATCCAATAGAAAGGACATTAAGATTCATAAATAAAAATAATTTAGATGTATTAGGATGTTCATTTAATAAGTTTAAGATGTCTTTGCGTGATAGCTTATAGCCTATTGTTTCGTTTCATGTTTTTATTCTTCTCTTTTCCTTATCGAAATTGTTAAGTGAGTACCTATGTGTTGGGACATGGTGTATATTAATTATATTCATTATATTCTTATATTCATACTGTATTCAAACTTGTAATGGGGGTTTCCCGTAAATAAATAAATAAATAAAATAAAAATAAATGAATGGTAGAACTACTGATCCATTATTATTTTCCCGAGTTCTATAATATTGTTTTTCTACAAACGTCAAAGAATGACAAGGTTCGCGCATTGATAACAAATTGCGAAGTGACACTTTTCTTCAATTTCCTACGTTACCATGATACCTTGCCCAAAACAATGCGCGAAGTAAGACAGTGCGCGAAGTACCTACTTAGCGCATTATTATGTAAAATATATGAGATATTTATATTTCAACTTTATGGTCCTCAATCGAGCAAACATCTACCAAATAATTTATTTCTGAATGTTCAACAATAACGTTGTTTTATCTCTTGAAGCGCACGAAAGGAAACTCCTATTATGTTCGTGGAACATCGTGCGTAACTAGGGAGGATAGGGGGAAGCCTTTCAAGTCAGTTCTACACTATTTTCTATATGAAGCTAAGCATATTTTTACTTTAGAATTATATTTTTTACGTTTGTAGAAAAAAATTTTGTTTGCAACTCGAGCGCGGAATACTTTGGTCATCTCGACTATTTTGTTAACTCGGCTACGCCTCGTTAAAAAAATCAGATATCGATCACCAAAGTAGCATTTCGCGCTCTAGATACAAAAATAGCTATTATCTATCAGTAGATTGACTTTCAGCTTCTGAAAGTCATCTTTTTCACATTGAAATTTGATCAAATCATCAGCAATGGGTATCCTGAATTTAATGTAGTCAACTTTGATAATTTCACGTTTTCCAAATGTTTTCAGTACAACATTGGAATTTTCATTTCAGGTATATGTTATGCGCGATGGTCCGTTATTGAAGCGTGTTCTAAATCTAATTGGTGGCAGTTAGTTAGAATATGATCAATAATGCTTGATGAATTATTTTGTTTTCTGGCAAAACAGTTCGGATTTACTTTGTGCATTAAATTTCCTGGGAAGTAGCAGCTACCAGATCCTGTGCATTTGCAGCATCAGGGACGCCACAGTCGCCATCCTGGAAGTGAAGGTAAGATGAAGTAAACATAGTAATGGTTGGTACTGTGTATCTACCATATGATGGTGAAACGGAACTACCCCCAACCGAGGAATTGCTGAATATTGTGAGGTACAGCAGAGGTCATCTCCTTCGCATAATATTCGTCAATCCAATCCGACACGAAGTAATTGACGGCTAAAGACCAGAGATATAATAGGGAAGCATAACGGATTGGAGGGTATCGAAAGACATTTCAATGTCCGACCACCGAATGATAAGCTTCAATATACAGGGTGTCCAAGAATGAGAATCGTATACTCTAGGAGGTAATTCTTAATAATGAATAATGTTCCTATCAACAATTTGTTGCCCTATAAAGATAGGCCCTTAAATGCAGTTTTCTTCAATTATATCTTCATCATATATTGATCCTAGATTCACGAAATTCTGTACCTGTGGGTGATTCGATCTTACAAATCGTTTAGTTGTACGGAATACATGATTTAATATACAGGAAGGTGTGAAACTAGTAACCAATGCTCTCTTATCAAGAGTTTTCTCACGTTTCGGACTCAGTCAATCACTCTTGATG